TTGAAGGTCAATATTAAGCAAGCTACAAGAAAAGTTATTCATTTAACTTTGTATTAGTTGTCAATTTCGAAATATTGTATGCTAGTTAGGGTTTATGCTTTGGATGATTAATATTGCATGTATAACTTGAGAAAAACCTAGATCCAAAGTATTAGGGTTGCATTTACATCATAGAAATGTTGTAGTGATCAAAACCCATCAGGAATGTCGTTTCCCATAAGGAGTATGTCATAAACATATAATACTAGAAAGGTCACTATACTCCCACTAGCCTTAACATACACACAAGACTCATCCTTACTCCTAGAGAAACCAAATTCTTTGACTTCCTCATGGAAGCAAAGATTCCAGTTGTGAGATGCTTGTTTCAATCCATAAATATATTTCTCAAGCTTATACACTCTATTAGGATACTTTGCATCTATAAAACCCTCCGGCTAACTCATGTAAACATCTTCAGCGAACTTTCCGTTAAGGAAAGTAGTTTTGACATCCATCTGCCATATTTTATAATCATGAAAGGTAGCTATGGCGAGCATTATCCTAATAGAATTTATCTTGGCCACTGGTGAGAAGGTCTCATCATAGTCAATCCTTGGGGGTTTGAGTAAAGTCCTTCGCCACCGGTCATGCCTTGAAAGTGTGTACCTTTCCATCCATGTCGGTCTTCTTCTTTAAGATCCATTTTTAACCCACTATCTTTTGACAAGGTTCTTGATTAACCAAATTCCAAACTTGGTTATCATACATGGACTTGATCTCATTGTCCATTGCCTATTTCCACTTGGTAGCCTTAGGGCCTACCATCGCTTCCTTGTATTTAGTTGGGTCATAAAAATTTACCAGTGTACGATCACTGACAAACATACCACCATCTGTAGTTATATGAAAAGCATAGAACTCAGGTGGTAAGCTAACTCTACTAGAACGTCCAAGACGTAATGAATTGTTAATGGGCTCAATAGGAGTCTCATCCTCTGGTTGAGAGTTGCTGTCTTCTAAGGTTCCTTCATTGGTTGATTCTTGAATCTCATCAAGGTTAATTGTATTCCCACTGTCCTCTTTTCTTATGAGCTCTCTCACACGAAAGACTCCTCTTTGTGCTACAAAGACCACATTATCACTAGGTCTGTAGAACAACTACCCAAAAGACGTCTTTGGGTAACCAATGAAAATATACCTCTCACTGATAAGTTCTAACTTTTCATGAGTCTCTCGTCTAACGAAAGCTTCACATCCCAAGACCGTGATATGTGCTAATGAGGGAACCTTCTATGTCTACATCTCATGAGGTGTTGTGGCAACCTTCTTGGTAGGGGAAAGATTGAGAATATGGGCGGCTGTCTCTAAGGCATACCCCCAGAAAGAAGTGGGAAGAAAAGCTTGACTCATCATGGAACGAACCATGTCTAACAGGGTCCGATTATGCCTCTCTGCCACATCATTAAGTTGTGATATCATAGGAGGAGTCAATTGTGAAACTATTTCACATTCCTTGAGATAGTTGTGGAACTCGATACTAAGATACTCTCCACCTCTATCAGATCGAAGCATCTTTATCTTCCTGCCTAATTGATTCTCGACTTCATGTTTAAACTCTTTGAATCTTTTAAAGGTTTCTGACTTATGTTTGATTAGGTAGATATAACCATATCTGCTATAATCATCTGTAAATGTCACATAGAATCGATTAGCATCCGTTGTTGTGGATCTAAAGGTCAACACACATATGTGTGTATGAGATCCAATAAAACTCCACCTCTTTCACAAGATCCAGTGAAAGGTGATTTTGTCATCTTGCCCAAAAAACAAGATTCGCATTCATCATCTGACCTTAAGTAAAATGATTCAAACATTCCATCCTTTTGGAGTTGGTCGATGTATTTCCTGTTAATGTGCCCAAGACGATAATGTCATAAGCATGCATTGTCTAAATCATTAGACGAATCAATATGAAACACACTATTACCTAAGCTATCAACACAAATCACAATTTCATATACACCACTACATGTAATGTTCCTACATTAAATTAATTGTTTTACATCTGTCGTGGGTAAGTTTTATAGCTTCTAAGCAGGTTTTTGATGATTCTTCTCTTGAAGCTCAACGGAAAATGCTAGATAAAACTGTACATAATTACTCCTATGTCGCCTCTAGTCTGAATTAATGGTTGTAGCAACAGTACTCTATTAACCCAGTACTATATTTTATCTTTATTCTTAGCAAAAGTTTGTATTAATCATGTTTGAATCTTCTAAAAAATAATTGTGCAGGGCACATTCCTACAGAGAAGCAAGATGGGCCACAATGATGTATATTCAAAACGTTGGAGCATATGTGGAGTGACAAATATGTTTGTTTGCAATCAAACTTGGGCCTTCACAGGTTGGTTACTAACGATTTTGCTAACATTTCTAATTGTTAAGTTCATTTATTTTAAATTATGTCGTTCTTACTTTATTACTTCCTTTAACAAACCCTTATAAGTTCTTAATTATAAGGACATTGGGTTCCAGAAACAAACCTAAAGCTATTAATGACCCTACTATATTGATCAATTAGGTGTGAGCCCCATGTATTACATAGGTGTATTTAAAACAATTAAATATGTATAAACATTTGAGAAATTTGAATTTATAAGAAAAATGAGAAAAATATTGAATTACTAAAATTAAAGTGTTTTTTTCTCTTTTAAATTTAAACAAATCATTTAGATAAAATAATCAAAACAAATTAATGAGATTTTATTTTAAAACTTTGAAGTTATAAGGAAAGTCCATTAATGAAATTGATATGCATTTATTATTAAATTTAAATATCATATGAAATTTAATAAAATAGGAAAACCACAAAATTACATATGGAATAAAAATTAATTCAAAATAACCACAAAATGACATGTGGCAAAATGAATGAGAGTATGACAAGTGGCAAACAAAACCTTCATTTATTAAAGAAGATTGTCAAAAGATAACAAAATCATGTTGCCTTTGTTTTGTAAAATATATATTCATTTAATTTCGTTGTCTTTGTTCTACAGGTCTGATATATACTTTTTAGCCCCACTCACTTCAAAAGTAGTGAAGATTATTATTATTTTTCTCCATATGTTTACAAACTGAAGGTGGGTAAGTGACAACTTGGTTTCAAATACTGTATGCTAGATTGCACTTGCTTTTTAGTATATAGAGTATTTCTATTCTTACTTGAATAACTTGATGGTTGCTTGATTCAAAATGAAAATCTTTAAAAAGGTTTTGTTTGGAATTTATAATAATTTAGGACAGATTGGGTATCTTTATTCAAAGGTTCTTACACCTCTCATTTTTGTTGTTTCATATTTCTTTTCCAAATTTCTCAGGTGATTATCATCCAAGAAATGTCCTTTTTGAAATCTCACAAAGATACATGAACATCCAAGACTACAAAACCAAAACCAATGACCTCTCCATTGAAGATACTTTAGCTTTCATTATAGGATATATCCACAAAAGGATTGCAAATTATAAGTTAGGAATAAAAATTTAATGTGATCAGTTCAATGTAAATTAATAAAATCTTTCAGTTTTGCTGTTTTCTTTGGCGTATTCAACCCCGCAAAACAAGGATTCTTTCCTAATTATTATTAATAAATTACAAATTATATATAAATTACAAATCAGGATACTCTTCATCGGGTTACTTACTCAACTCAACCAGAATCACCGCCTCTTTATTGGTTTCATCTTTTTAATATTCGCACCGCCATAACATTCTACCTTCTTCTGATAAAATGTCGCCTTCATTCATCTCTTTTTCACGTATATCGGATACTTTTTCATACGCTCCTCTAGACCACCGTCTCCACCCCTTCTAATTCGTTCTATCAATAATAATGTTAAGTGAAATATCAATAATAAATTATTTATTAAAAAAGATTAATGAACAGAATATAACACAAAAATTTGTTGACCGATAATTTTTTGTTATAGACTTACAGCTGATTTTCAAGAATCCATCTAAACAAAATTTATCATTTAAAACTCGGTATAGACAAAATAATTTTCCTTATGGAACAATGGTCATCATTTTTTTTTTTTTTGGTGTTTTTACTTTTAACCTTTTTCTTATAATTTTCTATTGCAACAGAATGTCAAGAAATATTATTTTTACAACAGAAAAGTGTCAAGTGTGGATGGAATGAAACGAATTGATAGTTGACTTAATCCATATATATTTTTTTGAATAAACAAAAGAAAAACCTTCAAAAGGAAAGTCAACAGTTTTGACTTTGTAAGTTGCACAACTTCTCCCTCCACAACCTCTCCAATATCCCTCATTCCTCAAATTCCTTACTTTACAAAAAAAAAAAAAAAATTCCCTACTTTTCATTATTTTATGCATCTCCCTTTTCTATTGTTATTTTTTATTTGGATTCTAGATACAAGTTGTTAATATCCCTTATAAAACAATTATTCGACAGAAATTATATGAGTTTATAAATTTTGTACCAGTTTGCCTTCCATCAATATGTTTTAAATTTTTATTTCTAATTTTAAAAAAAAAAAAATTGTTGATAAAAATTTCATCAATTTATATATACATAAATTAATAAAATTCAATTTTATTACAAAATTGATTTGATAGAAAAAAAAAAAAGCACCCAAAAATGAATTAATTAGTTTACGAAATCTGATATGAGTCCACATAAGACAAGGTACAGAAAGACAGTGGTGCAGTTGAGTTGAGATTGGCTTCATTCAAACTGCCATTTCCCCTCTTCAAATATGCTCTCAACTCCATCAATCGATCTTCATATTTCCCTCCATCTTCCACACCCAAATCTCATTCCAACCCATGTTTTTGAATCACTTAATCTTCAAGAACATCCAATTCTTTCCCATTTTTACGTATCTGTGTAATTAATGTGATGCGATTACGGAAACCCTGATCAGATCTGCGAAGATTTTTTGCTGGTTTTGGGGGATTTGGAGCTTGGAGACCTCAAACATTCAGCAATGGTGGCTGAACCTTGGTTACTGAGGATGGGGAATCAAATGAGTTCGAATCTCAAACACGCTCTTCTCTTGGAATCGTCTTCAAAACCATCAGCCAAGAACAAGCAAGACACCCGCAACAAAACTCCGGAAACAATCGGAATCCTATCGTTTGAGGTGGCGAATGTGATGTCGAAAATCGTTCACCTCCATAAATCCCTAACGAATTCCGAGATCTCTAAATTAAAAAACGAGATTCTCAAATCTGACGGCGTCAAAACCCTAGTTTCCTCCGACGAAACCTACCTTCTAGACCTCGCGCTTTCAGAAAAGCTAGACGATTTGTGTTTCATCGCCGGCGTCGTTTCCAGGCTGGGCAAGAAGTGTACAGTCCCGCAGCTCCAAGGGTTTCAGCATGTTTACGAAGATATAATCAATGGAGCCATTGATGTGGGAGGATTAGGGTTCCTAGTCAAAGACATGGACGCAATGGTGCGAAAAATGGAGCGATTCGTGAACTCTACAGCTAGCCTCTACACCGAAATAGAAGTTTTGAACGAATTAGAAGCTGCAACGAGCAAATTCCAGCAGAATCAGCATGAAGAAAGCCGAAAAGTTTTACAACAGAAAGTGATTTGGCAGAAGCAAGATGTAAAACACCTGCAGAATGTTTCTCTTTGGAATCAAACTTACGATAAAATCGTCGAGATGCTAGCAAGAACAGTATGTACCCTCTATGCCCGAATTTCTTTAGTTTTCATCGATACAATTTCACGAAGAGACATGTTCTCCAATCCTTCTCTCCCCATTTCTTCTTCAAATCTACACTCCTGTAGAAGTCTACCTCAAAATTCATCCCAGATCGATTCCCGTAGTACAAAATCTGGTGGCAGTTTTAGTAATTCAGGATTTGAGAAAAGGGTAATTAGTCCCAGGCCTCAGATCATCTCAAAAAAGGGGGAAATCTCTCTGTTTAAAGCCGAAGATTTCAATTTCGCTTGTGGGTTAGGACCTGGAAGATTGTTCATGGAATGTTTAAACATAAACAGTTCGATTTCAAAATTCGATGATTTCGATGACGATTCTTTCCAAAAACATGATGATCAAAGCAGTCGGATTTCAAGAGAGATCACAAATCATTCTTCTTTTCATAGCCGAATCCCAAGAATCCCAAAAACCAGCTTTAAATCGACCCCAAAAAGCAGCGCAACAAAAACCAGACTAACAGTACAAGCTCCTCCAACCACCATTGGAGGATCTGCATTAGCATTACATTACGCCAACATCATAATCGTGATTGAGAAATTACTACAATACCCTCATCTAGTGGGTGAAGAAGCTAGAGATGATTTATACCAAATGCTCCCAACAAGCATACGATTGGGGTTAAAGATTAGTCTGAAATCGTATATCAAAGATTTAGCAATCTATGATGCTCCTCTTGCTCATGATTGGAAAGATCGACTTGATCAGATTCTTGTTTGGCTTTCGCCTTTGGCGCATAACATGATTAGGTGGCAGAATGAGAGAAATTTTGAACAACAACAAATCGTTTCAAGAACAAATGTGCTTCTTCTTCAAACTTTGTATTTTGCTGATAGAACGAAAACTGAAAGAGCCATTTGTGAGCTTCTTGTGGGGTTGAATTATATATGTCGATATGAACATCAACAGAATGCGTTGTTGGATTGTGCAAGCAGTTTTGACTTCAATGAATGTATGGAATGGCAATCTCAATGTTCATGATGGTGAGTTTTTTTTTTTTTTTTTTTTTATTAGATGATGATATGTGAATATGTGATTATTTTTTTTTGTTTGGGGGTTTTAGAGATTTATTTATAATCATTGTATGGATGAGTTGTGTTATGTACTTTGTTCCAAGTTTTGAAAGTACAAAATTCAACTTGAAAAACAATCGAGCTTCTTCAAATCTACAATGTATTTTGGTGTTCTTTTATTTTTCTGTTTTAAAGCTTTGTTTTTGTTTTGTTTTTCAGTTTGATCGGTAGCCTTATGTTTACTTATCCTGTTGGATTAGCTAAGAAAATGTAGAGTTTTTTTTTTTTTTTTTTTTTTTTTTTGGGTTAATAGGTTAATAATTTATTTAAAACAACTATACATTGTTGTTTCTTTTTTACTTAATCCCAACAAAATGCCAATATAAGTTGAGCAAAAAACATTTCTTAGGCTATGTTTGACGACAAGATGAAAAACAAGCTAATAGGCGAAAAGCTAATTGTTAGTCATTAAAAAAATGATCCATTTTGTAAAAGTAGCTAGTTGAAATTAAAAAATGTCATCAAAAGTATGTAGAATAAAAGGTATCATTAAGGAAAAATAACTCAACAATATGTTGGTTGAAACGATAGTATGAATATAATTGAGAATTAAATAAAGGAAAATTGGGAAATCTAACCTATATAAATCAACCTTTTAAAAAAAATAACTATTTTTTTTTTTAATTTTTGAAAAGTAATCATTTTTCTTTCAAATGCTAATTACGGACTATTATTTACATTCCAATCTAATTTTCAATTTTTTTTTTCTAAGAATACTTATTACTTCATTCGTGTTTGATCTTTAAATTTCAGAATTATTGAATATCATCATTTTTCAATAAAATGTATGACTGTATGCACTAATATCCTTAATAGTTCATGTTTCTTATATTTTTTTAATTTTTTGTTAAATTTAAGTAAAAAACTATTTTTTTTTCGAAATTCTGGAAATTTTTCTTTGGTTTCAGACTTTCTTGAAATTCCGAAGTTTTAATCCGAAATCCGGAATCAGTCAAGAAACATGTTTTTTTTGTCCGGAATACCTATTCCGTACCAAGTCGTTTATGTTTGCAATTATTATTTTTTTGGTTATTTTGTTCAAATAAATATTTAAAAGTGGTTAGATTACTCCATTTAAAAAAAATGAATAATGTCATTGAAATGCTAATATATTTTTAAAAAGCTAGTTAATACGCTATTTATTTTATTTGCCAAATAAGTTAAAACTAAAAAGAAAAATTCAATAAGATCGTTGAAACGTTAATATAATTTTTAAATAGCTAGTTAATATGCTATTTTTTATTTGCTCTAAAAAAAACTAGAAAAACAAGTTATCTTATGTCATGCCATAGCCTTAATGCAATTAGACACTAACCTTTGACATATTTACCCGTTCATTTTTGCTCCTAATTCTCTCATTTCTAAATTGATGAATATTATAAAATTTTCTTTTTTAAATATAAAAATAAAATGTTCATTTAATGTTAGTCTTATTTTTGCATACAACAATTTATCAACTGTAATTATCCACTTGGTCACGCTATCCATACGCAGACTTGTTGTAATAACATGTCCCACATGGTTAAAAATTGAAAATTATGGTTGGGACCCTTATAAGACTTAAGTTGTGTTCTATAAGTAACTTTACTTTTGACCAATGATTTTAAATTGGTGGAGAAACTATTACCACTATTTGAATTAAATGTTGTTAAGTTGCTCCCAAGAAATAATCATAAAAAGTGTGCATTGATTTTAGACATGAATTGTGTAACATGCCATGCCTATGCCTGCATCATTGATGTTTTCAGTTGTTGTACAGTACAACACATTTAAGCATGTGAACAATTATTTTGGTTGATTGGAATGGTGAGGCTGGTGACCGGTTTGTGGGGTTTTGTCCTTTGGTTTCACTGCAAAATGGATTAACTTTTAGTTTTTGGTTATCTTGTGGCAAGGGGTTTAGTTGGAAAGAAAAGAAAGTAGTTGAAGCAACCAAAATGATTTAAACCTTTAGGTTGTGTAATTGTATCAAAACTTTTTCATTAGGCAAATCACCTAACATATTTTTATCTAATTTTATAAAAAAAATCATTATATATTTTTCTTAGTGTATTAAAATCTCTATATTTTCTGAAAATCTATTTAAGGTTTTTTGACTTTAAAAAAACCAATTCTGTTTTTATCAGGGCATTAGAAAGTGGCTTTGATATAAAAGTGCTTAAATTTGTCAACTTTTTGATGGTTTTGTCCCCATGATGATTTCGTCATTAAAGTTATATTTGGAAAGATTTGTTCAAATCTGTTATTCAGTTATTTTTTATTTTCTATAACATATTACCTATATTTGGAAAGATTTGTTCAAATATGTCATTTAATTATTTTTTACTTTCTACACTAGGTCCCTTTGCATAAAGCAAGTCACCACCACCATCACAATCTACCATGTTGCCGCAACAAGAAGCAACCCCTACCACCTGTCGTCACAACCTCCACCATCAAAACGCACCCACTGCCCTTTGAAAATCAAAAGCTACAACAAAGATGGTGGCGACAGCTAGGGTTTACGACAAACTCAAGAGAACATACAACGTTATCACCATAAACATCATCTGAAAATCAAAACAAACAAAAAGGCGACAACAACTATGGTTGTGGTGGTAGGGCCTATGGTAAAATCGAAGGGAGCGATAAGGGGGTTTTGGTTTTCAAGAGGAGGGAGGAGGGTGACGTGGGCAGCTCTAGTGGTCGAAAGACAATGATGATTAGTGGGGTTTGATGGAAAGGCGGTCCAACGAAAATGATGACGATTTTATATTTCCCGACGAACGAAGGAGGGTGACGTAGGTAACTCTGGTGGTTTGAAGATCGTGGTGGTTGGTGGAGTTTGATGACGGAGGGAAGGTGGTTCCAACGGTGTGTGCAAATCCGAAAATAGTGCCAATTTTTGGTTTACAACGGACGGAAGAGGGTGACATTGGTAGTCTTAGAAAGTCACCGTCGTGTTATTTAAATTTAGGGGTATTCATTTATGACACGACACGGCAAAAATACATAACATGAAAAGAAATTGGGACGCAATCAAAATTCGAATTCATGTCCATGTTGTGTTCGTGTCGAGTTTAAAAAACACGATGTCGTGTCGTGTTTACAAATCGACATGAAATCAACACGAAATCAACACAAATGATTTTGTTATCTTTGTCGTTTCGTGTCGTGTTGTCATATTTTAATTGATACGTTTTTGTATTTGTGAAAAAAAACACGACATCGCATCATGTCGAGTTTGCGTTACATAAATTTTTGTTGTGTTATGTCGTGTTAGATAAAAACACGACATGACTGCCCTTTTGACAACCTTATCTAGAGTAGTGATCCCTATGACCCAATCAATATAAAAATTTTAAGTAAAGGAAAAAATATATATAAAATTGATAAATATAAAGCAACCAACTCTTTACTTCTAACAATGTGTTATAAAAAATGTCATTGCTCGAGTATTTTATTATCAAAAGGTTAGAAATTAATATATATATATATATATATATATATATATATATAGAGAGAGAGAGAGAGAGAGAGAGGGTTCAATTGAGAAAAAAAAGGTTGAGAATGGGGGAACCATTCTCAGCCAATCATTTAATAAGCTTAAAAAACGCACGGTGGCAAACTTATAAATAATCCAAATACATTAATGAGCGGTGGTAAATTTGTAAATAATCCAAAAATATTAAACCGTCAGGGCACTTGAGTAATTTGATATCACGTCAAATCTTGACATAAAAACATCGTTTCCCTCTTCGATACACCATAACACGAAAACCATTTGCAGAAGAATTGATAAGAAGAAAACCATTTGCAGAAGCATCAAATAACATAAACGAAGAAAAATGTCTTCCGATGAAAACATGAACGAGAACATTTCCTCACTCTTGACAATGAAAGGTAACCATCGGCGTTTTTTCTCGAGTTTTTAACGATTTTGAATAATTTCTAAAATTATCAATTAATTACTTGAAATTTCTCGTAATCTTCGAAAATTATTAGTTGATTTAGAACTAAAAACATTGTTTTCACACTGTTCATTCTTCAAAAAAGGTTGTTTACTTCAATTTTACTTGAAATTTATGATACTCGTTTATTCTTATAACCCTCCTTCATTATTACTTTATTTACTTGAAATTTTTGTAAGAATCATCAATTATTATTTGATATATAAATGATTTTACATCAACTCTTCATTTTTTTTATCTTTATTCAAAACTATTATGTCAAAATACAAATGTTACTTAACATTTCGCTTATGTTTTCCTAATTTTAACTACTTACCCTTACAGAAACAACACCAACGGTGAAGAATACATATAAACGAAAACCAAGAACAAATCAAAAAGGTAAATAAAATATGTTTTGTTTACTTCTGACCACAAGCAAAAAAACTAATATTCATTCGTGAATATGTCTGTTATATTCACATATGAATAGAAGATAGCTTGAATACATACATTATTCAAATGTGAATACAACAAGAATGACTTACATATGTTCTATTTATATATGAATATAACAAAACATATTCATATGTGAATAAAAAAAATATGAATACATATGTTTTATTCAAATATTCATTCGTGAATATGTATGTTATATTCACATATGAATAAAAGATAGTTGCTGCCATACATACATTATTCAAATGTGAATACAACAAGAATGAATTACATATGTTCTATTCACATATGAATATAACAAAACAAATTCATATGTGAATAAAAAAATATGAATACATATGTTTTATTCAAATATGCATTCGTGAATATGTATGTTATATTCACATATGAATAGAAGATAGCTTGCTGCCATACATACATTATTCAAATGTGAATACAACAAGAATGAATTATATATGTTCTATTCACATATGAATATAACAAAACATATTCATATTTGAATAAAAAAAATATGAATACATATGTTTTATTCAAATATTCATTCCTCAATATGTATGTTATATTCACATATGAATAAAAGATAGCTTGCAGCCATACATACATTATTCAAATATGAATACAACAAGAATGACTTACATATGTCTATTCACATATGAATATAACAAAACATATTCATATGTGAATAAAAATATATGAATACATATGTTTTATTCAAGTATTCATACGTGAATATGTATGTTATATTCACATATGAATAGAATATAGCTAGCTTCCATACATACATTATTCAAATGTGAATACAACAAGAATGACTTATATATGTTCTATTCACATATAAATATAATAAAACATATTCATATGTGAATAAAAATATATGAATACATATGTTTTATTCAAATATTCATTCCTGAATATGTATGTTATATTCACATATGAATAGAAGATAGCTTGTTGTCATACATACATTATTCAAATGTGAATACAACAAGAATGACTTATATATGTTCTATTCACATATGAATATAACAAAACATATTCATATGTGAATAAAAATATATGAATACATATGTTTTATTCAAATAATCGTTCCTGAATATCAAACTCATTTACCTTCTACTTACTATTAAATGAATGTAAGAACACTAACATTTCTGATAAAGATTCACTAACAATCAGAGAAACAAGATCAATGCAAAAGCGGAAAAATGTGAAAGGTACAAATTTCCTATCATATCTAATATATTCATATATGAATAAAATTGTATATATTATTTATATTTTTGTAATAAATAAATATTAATAAATCAACGAGCATATATCATATTCATATATCAGTAACTTATTCAAATATTATATGTTTTTGTTTCCCAGATAGAAAAGAAACAAAAGTACCAAAGAAAATAAAGCATCAAAGCAGAAAAAGTCCATCAAAAAGGAAAACTCCTGAAAACCAACAACTACAAGATTCAGATTCTGATTTTGAAAGTAGTCATCCATCGAAAAAGGAAAAAAAAAGGAGTCACCAATCAAAAAAGACAAAAAAAAACCAATGGTAAAAGAATTTTACTCAATGAAAACAAATGTTCACCAGAGGCATTACTATCTATAATCCTTAGGATGAGCAAAGAATAAAAAGAATCTGTAAGATCTATGGGTTTTGGAGCTTTGTTAAAAATGAAAATCACAGATATACCACTGAAGTTAGGATTTTATGTTCTTCAAAAATTTGATTCTGAGAGAATGGTGATAGATATTGAAGGAAAGGAACTGAAAGTCACAACAGAGTCTGTTGATGACATGTTGGGCATACCAATTGGTGGAACCAAACTTACAGAACTGGATCAATGACCTAAGGATGATACAAGTTATGATGAATGGAAGCAACAATTTAAAAAAGATTCAATCATTCGACTGAGTGCAATCAAAAATGTTATTGTTTCTACCACACAAGCTGATTTTAATTTCAAATTGAACTTCTTAGTTCTTTTTGTCAACCTGTTTTGCGAGTCAACATCAATAGGAAGATGTAACCTGTTTCCCTTGAGTTATATTTCAAGAAGAACCGATATCAGCAACATAGACTGGTGCAACTATGTTTTGGACTGTCTTGTCAGAACAAAAAACTCATACATACCATACTCAGATACCAACTTCTTTGTTGGACCTTCATCTTTCTTGGTGGTAAGTTATTTTAATGTTTATACTCAATTTTTAATAATATTGATTATTCATAAACTAATAGCAACTATTCATATATGAATAAGAAAAATATATTTGTTCACAAGTAATGCTTTACACAACTTATTCATATATGAATAAGTCATTACTTATTCATATATGAATAAGTAAAAAATAATATTACTTGTTCATATATGAATATCAATTAGTTATCATTCATGTGCAGTTGTTCTATGCTGATAACATCCAATCAGAAGCTTTGACAGTAACACGTAAACGTCCAACAATTTGTTATTGGAGTTCAGAGAAGATTAGATATCGAGAGGCATTTGAACAAGAAAAAGGTAGATTTGGACTTGGAGAAATAAATGAAGAATTTTTTGACGAACAAGATGAAGGAGATACAGATCTCAAAGACAATGATTATGATAAAGATGAAGATCATTCTATTGAGGTAATTAGTTTGAACATGTTAATAATATATGATTACATTAAATTATTATATTAAATTCTAATCATATACTTCTTTTTGTTACATAGGCATATGAATCAAAAATATCAAAAATGATTAATAGTTTTGAGAGATTGAAGGAAAAACTAAATTCAAAGCTTAATGATGCGATGAAAGAGTTCCCTGAAAAGGAAAGCTTTAGAATTTTAAAGGAAAAAATCACAAATATGATTGTTGAAGAAAAAACTAAAAGCACAACACTTTTTAATTTCCCAAGTAATGAAACTGGAGTTGAAGGAATCAATTTGACACCAATAACGGGTCAAAAAACAAATGATCAAAAAGAAAATGAAGATAAAGAGGGAAATGGAGAAGAAGACAATGATAATGATGCAAGTCAACCAAAGTAGATTATTTACTTGTTACAAATGAAGCAGATAATGAAGCAATAAAGAATGATGCAGATAAGAATAAAAAAGAAGGTGAAATTGGAGTAAAAGAGAAAGATGGAGAGAGGAATGAAAATAAGAATGATGAAGAGGAAAAAGATGATCATGATAAGGAAATAAATAATCATGAGGAGACTATTCAACAAACTGAAAATGACAATTTGTTGGATAAAGTTGTTGACAACATTCTGGACAATGTCCTTGGAATTGAAATTTCAAGTTTAAATAGTCAAGAAAATGAAATCTGGAATCACCCTGAAATGAAAACTATTTTCGATAATATTGATGTAGGTAAATTTTGCCTTACTTTTATTTTAAAAAAATATATAAAAATATTAATACACAATAACAATTTTGTTTGTTAAATTTTGATCAGGGTCACCAATGAGTACAAGTAAAACTGATACTCTTGCAGAAAAGGAAAAATCAGAAGGTGTACATGAACAAGGAACAAAAGTTGAAAAAACAAAGGGAGATGATACATGTAAATGAATGACTTCAAATATATTACAATATTTATATTGATTTTTTTAATAACATTGTTTATTCATAAGTGAATAATACACTATATAAATGAATAAAAAATAAAAAATATTCATATATGATGTATATGTTTCAGGCAAAAAAAACTCTGGAGATAGAAATAAAGGAGGAACAGAAGCTAAGAAGACGAAAGATGGAGGTGAAGAAAAACATACAGAAACTGAGAAAGGAAATGCAGAAGATAAAAGTAAATAGTTGAATCACTAATAAATTAATATAATAAGTTTTATTATTCACAAATAAATAACGCAATATAAAAAAAATTAATATTTCTTATTCACAAATAATGATATGCATTACTTATTCATAAATGAATACATTACTTATTCACATATGAATTACTTAATCACAGTTCTTTATCATTCAGGAAAGAAAAAGTTAGAAAATAAAAACAAGAAAGGAGAAAAAGCTGACAAGACAAATGGAAATAAAGGATGTAACAATTTGGATAAACATTTCAAAATATAAACTCAAATATTATAATTAACTTACAACTATTTATATGATAAATCTTCTGGCACGCAGATACTCATCCAATCTTTAGTCTAGGTCTCAGTCAAGATTCAGATCAAACTTCAAGTAAAAAATCTAATGAATCTTCACCAAAAAAACCACTTACAAAGAAACAAATTAAAGACGGCCATCAGAAGGTTGTTATCAGATTAGCAAAGAAAAATGTTCTTAATCCAAATCCAATCTCTGTATCAATTCCTACTGAAGCAGGACCATCAAAGCATGATCTGGATAAACCAAGAGAGAAGAAGCTTGCTGATGCTTTCAAATGCAGAATAACAGACACAAAACCCAAACTGACACATCAGGAGAGTATTGTCTGTGAATGGTTGTTCAACTTACAAGGCAATACATCGTAAGTAACTTTATTTTATATACATTCATATATGATTATTATATAGATAATAATCTATGATATTTTGATTATATATATTTGCAGAGATGTGGTTGTCCAGACAAAATATGGTCAGATGAAAAAAAGAGCAATTATGGAAAGTCTATATGCAAACACAGAGATTTTTGGAGAAGTTTTAGACACTTGGTCTGATTTACTTAACCACCAAGAACTGAAAAGGGATTTTGGAAATTCACCATACAGACTCTTCTTGAAAGTTGGAGTTTGTGTAAGTTTATGTTCTAAACTTAATTCCTTCCTTATTCATAAATGAATACACAAATATGATGTATTCATTTATGAATATTATATTTTTTTACAACTGAAATTCATACATGATTATACAAATATGATGTATTCTTTAACATAATTATATATATTCAACTGAAATTCACATATGATTATATTGGTTCCAGATTGCTTATAACTTCAACATTGTCTAATGAAAGAAAGTATGAAAAGTTCAAGGAGAACTTTCATGAGAGTACCAATGGGTACAAAAAAATATTGAACATAAAAGATATTGACATGGTATGTTAATTAAAGTTGTTTTTTTATATATATTTTTTATCAACAAAATACTTACCATTATATATATAAAAACAGGTATTCTTTCCAATTGTTAGAAGTGCTCACATTTTTGTGATTGTCTTTAACTTAAAGAAACCGTCAATTGAAATTCTAGACAAAAGTGCAGTTGAGGGGGATTATGAAGGAAAATACAGTGTAATATTGAAACCTTTGATATGTACCCAATTCACAACATCATAAAATAACTAATTTATTACATATCTAACTTTTATTTTATTTAATTATCATAAAATTTATTTGTGAGATACTTTACAGAAATAAACCATCCAAGAGCAAATGCAATCTCAAAAGAAAGTATCAAAACCCAACAACTTGAAATGTCATGGAGAACAGTTAAAAACAAAGTTGATTGTGGGTTCTTTGCAATGAGACATATGGAGACCTATATGGGACAACCACTCTCAAAGTGAAAACCAGGTCTTCATAAAGAAAGTGCAGTTCAGCAAACTACTTTAGAGAAGCTCAGGCAAAGATATGCACACATAATGCTAACTTGTGAAATTAACATGTTGAAGGCTAAGGTGTTGGATCTTGCTGAAAAATATCAAAAAGTTGAATTCAAAGTGCATACTGATCATGCATACAAGGCTATGCAAACAATTCAAAAAAGTTTAAAAGAATATTGATGATTTCTTGTGAAGATGAAAGAATGTTGAAGTGTGATGCTATAGAATAGTTTGTGTTGAAGATGAATGGATTTGAAGTACATGTAAGATGATTCTGCGAAACAAGTTTTAAATGGTTTGTTAAATGTTGCTGAACATCGTTTTAATATTTTGTGAAATGCTTATGAACAACTTTTATTATCATGTTGAATGATTATGTAATAGAAACAACTTCGCTTATTTCTGTCAGTTTTTTATATTTAAATATTTTTAAAGTTTATTTATGTTTATTCATAAATGAATATGAATATGATATATTCATATATGATTAAATTAAGAGTAATATGTCAGCATAACAAAGTTCGTATATGAATATAACAAATTTCATATATGAATATAACTAACTTATTAGTAGAAACAAGTTTGCTTATTTATGTCATTTTTTATAATCAAATATTTTCAAACTTTATTTTTATTTATTCATAAATGAATACGAATATGATATATTCATTTATGAATAAGTTCAAATTAATATGTTAGTATAACAAAGTTCATATATTAACATAAAAAAGTTCAGATATGAATATACTTATTTATTATTATAACAAATTTCACATATTTGTATTCATTTATGAATAATTTACAATATCAATATAACTTATTTTATAGTAATTTAAAAACAAATATCAACATATCAATTTACCATATCAATATAAATGTGTATTATTCATACATGAATATTATTGTTTATTGTTTTTATCTGCATATATTCATAATGAATTAAACCAAAAAAACATTTAAAAAACAACTTAAAAATCCCTAACTGTCTTTTGCTGATTTAGCAGCTCCAACTCTTTCTAGACAAGTACATAAATTGTGTGGAACTCATTTTCTACATCCTGAACACATTCTATGTTCTTTTTTAGAATTTTCATATGCTACCTCACCTGCACTTGGAATTCTTTTCTTGATTCCAGAACCTTTATTGCTTTGAACTTCAGGAACATGAATATTAATCTCTTCTAGAATAGGAATAGTAACACCCAAAAGCTTGCATACAACTTCACCATCTGTCTTGCTTTTCAATCCAGTAGAAATATAATAACTCTTAAATTCCTTCAACAACATTTGTTGCTTCTCAGCAAACAAAGCCAATCTCTTTTTGTCCTCTCTTACAATATCCAAACATGATTCAAAACTATAATATGAATCATTGACTAGCTTTACATTCTTACAATCACCTGAATTGGATTGAACAGAACTAAAACGATAATTTCTTGATTTCACATCCTTTATCTATCTCTTCAAAATGTACCTTTCAGTAATTTCTTTAACACCACATGTCATCATTATTGTAAAAACATGTCTGCATAAAACACCCATACGCTTAAAATGTTCACAACTGCAATTTATTTCTTTTTCTTCAGCTTTTATTCCAACCTGATACAAAAACAAAATTTACACATTTATATTCATATAAGAATACTCATATCAACACTCATATATTCATATATTCATATAATATTCATATATTCATATATGAATATTCTCATATTCATATATGAATATTCTCATATTCATATATGAATATTATTACATTTTTCATAAAAAAAACTAGTAAAATTACCTTAAATTCATTTTTAAAATCACTTTTATTGTTGTTGTGCTGCACATTGTAAACTTCCCAACCATCTTCAATACCAACGTATGAGTATGTACAGAAAAAACATGCTTTATATATTTCTTTTTGCACCTCAAAAAATAATGTACTTGTATAAACCTTTGATGCTTGCAGTTCTATTTCTCGAGGTGTTTGCATTTTATATGATGCTTTCTTTGATGCCTTATCAAGATCTCGTTGAGTATTCCTTTGCTTTTGAATGGCAGTGTCGTAATTCATCATGAAACTCAAAAGTAAGTTCCCACTTTCTGAGTATGTATTAAAGAATGAATTCATACTCTCTGACCTCAATGTTGTCTTCATCAAACCACACATTGGAATATCACTAAAATATCCAGGTATCCATGAATCACGTATTATAAACATGTCTTTAAACCATCTTGTGTCTTCAAGATTGAATTCCTTCATAATCAAACCCTACTTCACCTCAAAAACATTAGGTTTCATATTAATGTCCCAAACAAGCTTTGAAAACCTTTTTCTAAAGTCTGTGTTAGTAAATAAATCATCTGATATTTGTATTAAAACAAAAATATTCATAAATAAATAAATAATAATAAGTAAAATAACAATCAATATTCATAAATGAATATACCAATAAGTAATATATTTGAAATATATTAAAATATTACCTTTTTCAACTTTTTCATTATATATCACATACATAATCGATGCTTTGAATTACGAAACACATTCTCAACAGCTTGTTTTATTGCAGCATCTTGATCGGTTAAAACAAGTGTTGGTTCTTTCCCATGAGTATTAAGAAATGCTTTAAGCAACCAAGAGTAAGACTCAGTGATTTCATTGCTTAGCAACCCAGATCCAACAGTAAATGATTTTTTATCAGTAAAAGGAACAAAAATCATTCGATACCTAACACACAAAAAAATGTTCATTAAAGTCAATTTTTGATGTATTAATAAGTGAATATAAAAATATTCATATATGAATAAGCTGTAAACAAAAGTAGATAAAATAGCTTACTTGTTTGTTCGGAAAGTCGCATCAAACGAGATAACATCACCAAATTCAGCATAATATGCCTTCTCCATTTCATCAGCCCAAAACATATAGTCCAAAACATCATCTTGACAATTAAACTCAAATGAGTAATTTAGATAGTGAGCTCAACGGTCATTCATTGTGTTTACTATCATCTGGGCATCTTTATAACCAATAACCTTGTTGATATCTCTCCTTAAATTTTTATAGTCAACTACTTTTGGCTTTACAAACTCATACCCACCTCTCAAACTTGGCCTCAACTTATGAGCCATAGTTAGACCTATTTTTGATGTGGAAGCATGTACAATAAACTCTTTTTCTAAATATGACATTTGTCTCGCTTTTTTTAAATCGCTTCTCTTCTCAAGTGGATGGTTGTGAAGTTCATCAAACTGAAAAACTTTATAATCTGGAGTTCCATACACAGATTCAAATATAATATTTGCTTGACAACCAATAGCTCTTGAATTTGAATTTTGTTTCCTCCTAACACCACTTGTACCTAATGTGTCATAAGATTTCTTTTTCTGTTTACCACCACGATTACATATAACATGTTTCTTCTTTATAATCTTGTTATCAAACCTTGACTGTGTGCTCAGTCTAACATCAAAACCACCAATTTCAGAATACTCAGAATACATTTTGATAGCCAACTTTAATGATTTGAAGATTAAACCCTTAAATGGAATAAGTTGAACATGTACATCTGGCTTATAGACATGTTCTGCAATTATATCATTACAATATTGTGCATCATGTACTGAACTTGAAGATTCACCACCTAAAATAATAATGCATGAATAAAACAATAACATATATGAACACATAAAACTCATATAAATAAAACAAAAAACATTCATAAAATTCATGAGGATTCAAAATATATAAAATAAAACATAACTTATTCATATATGAATAAAACGAAAAAAATAATAATAAATTTGAAATTACAATTATCACACGTTTATCTATATATGAATAAGACAACAATTTATTCATATTAACATATTCATATGTAAATAAATGATAATCAACAAAATTAAAAACAACAAAATAATTCAATAACTGATACCTTCAAAAAATGAGTTCTCAACATTTTCTTCTTCACTCTCACTCATAGAAGAATACAAATCACCATCAATAACACTAGAATACAACATAATACACCAAATGATGTATATAAATAAACAAAAACAATCTTAATATCGAATATATCGAAAATATCTCATAAAAAAAAGTCGTAAAGATGAAAACTTGGTTAATTTCAAATATATCTCACCTCAACGTACAAAATATCTGAAATAAACTTAAATCATATATGATCAGATGATGTAATTAAGCAATCTCTCTCGGTACAGAACGTAAATACTATAACGATATATCCGATTAAACATTAAATTAGCTCCGATTCGAAATAAATATCTCAAAATACTTAATAAACATCCGATGAAATAACTCCAATACATATTCGAAACTTGATAATCTTGATAATGAACTCCGATTAAACAACTCCAAAACGAAGATAATAAGCGTAATTCCAAACAAATTATAAAAA